TTTTTTTATATTTTTAGATTATTTTGATATATTAATATCAAAAATAATTTTTTTAAAAATAAAAAAAATATTATTTTAATATATTTTTAAATAAAAAATATTTTGAATTGTAATTGTTATCACTACTATAATCCTAAAGACATTTTTAATAGTGTTGTTGACAGCATTCAAATGTTATTTTACTATTTTTTGTTTAAAATTATTATATTATATATTTTTATATTGTTTTAATATTAAAATATTTTTTAAAAAATAAAAAATAATTTTTTAATATATTTTTAAATAATTTTTTTTTAAAATAACTATTACTTTTATTTCCAAACACGTATAAATAACAGTAGCCACAGCCGCGACCTTTTACCAGTTTATATAATATTTCTGATGGAAAATTTCTTCCATAATCAACAGTACTGATTGGACCACCAGCTGTGATGGTTTGGTTTGAACTTCTTTTCTTACTTCAGAAATGTAAACTGCCAGGCACCAATGCCTAATAATGTGGCAATTATATAAAGCATGTACAGTTTCGTTGGCATTAATCAGAATTGACGTTTTTTTTTTAATTAACGTGAGTGTTCGGGCCAGCTTGCGCGCACCACGACCAATTTCATGAGCCCTGAAATTAACGACCATGTAAACCTCCAGTAACCATCATATGAGCAACTAAGAACTCGAAGCTGAGACAATAGAGAAAGCAAACTTCTTGATTTTAAGTTCTTATCACTTAGCCACTATATCACTTAGCCACCATCTAGATAATTAATCAGAATTGACGTTTTGATTGTACAGCTTGGCGTATCAAAATTGACGTTTTGATTGTACAGCTTGGCGTCCGGCTCGAGCCCTTGAGAACCCATTCAGGCTGCGTCCGTCCATATATATACATACAAATCGATGAAAATGCGATTACATGGCTAACCTTTTCTATTCCAAATAAACTAAAACAGTCGAAATTAAGGCTTAGTTTGGGTCCTCTGTAAATGATACATTAGGGTTTCGCCAGCTTTAAAATTACTGTCTTGAATTATAAAGAAAAACTGTATTTTCAAAATCAAGAGTTCATTAAACTGAAATAATAAAAAAAAATAATCAAGAAAACAGCATCTTCTTAGCTTATATATCCGGCTTTTCTGACATCAACTTAATGTCAAGTTAGATGGTTGACTCCATAGGTAATAAGACCAGTAAAACCCCTTCCCGGTCACTCTCAGCCTCAGATATAAAATTATAATTGTTTTTGTCGGTGTTTAAAATATCTAAATTTCTTTTTTAATTTTATCTTTTTTAAATAAAAAAAATAAAAAAATCAATATTAAAGATTGAAAAAAAAATAAAAGAATAAAAAAAAAATTAGATGCACAACTTTGAGTGATCCAATATGTATGAGCCTTAAAAAAAACCCAAACACCTGGACGTGCATTTTCTTTCTCTTATTTGTTTTTATGATAGGTGATGTGGCTGCATTTTCTTTCTCTTTTTTTTTTTTATCTTATTTGTTTTTATGATAGGTGATGTGGTGCATGTTGTTTTAATTTTTAGCCACAATAAATGATTGGAAAGTTAAATTGATAACTCTGAAAAAATTCATTCTCACACATTTCTCAACTGGAAACATCTAAGAAATATCTTACATATCTCAACAAACCTATTTATAATCTTAAATTAGCATTTAATTAGTTAAAAAAAATAAAAAATCAACCCAAATAACAAAAATCTAAGGTTTAATTTATTTGTTTACCAAAAAAAAAAGAAAAAAAAGGATCTCAATAGAATTTTTATTATTAAATAAAACTTATTCATATCAAGAACAATTAGTTTTGCCCTTGAAGACTTTCATCAACTTTCTCTTTCTGTCTTCATAATTTATAGACTTTCTCTTGGGTCATTCATCAACTTTCTCTCTCTGTCTTCATAATTTATAGACTTTCTCTTTCTCTTAAATTCAGATATTAAAACATGAGCAAAATAAAATTTTGCACTAAATCATTTTATGTCTAAGCTAAAGGGACAAAAGAAGAAATCTGACAAAATTATGGGTCTTAAAGGCCTTAACACAATTTTTTCTAATAAGCTTTTCATTTGTTCTCTGTTTTAAATTTGATTTTTTTATTTTTAGTTTTTTTCAAATAGTAAAATTATTTTAAAAAAAAAATAAAATGTCAATCAAATGATCAGGTTTCCTTTTTTATTATTTTTTACATTGAGATAGCTACGTAAAAATATATTGAAATAAATTATCAACCTTAAATCCAATAACACAACAATGAAGAGTCAAATTAAAAACAAAAAAAAAAAATAAGAGGAAGAAGAAAAATAGAGGACCATAAAAAAAATAAATAATAAGAGGAAGAAGAAAAATAGAGGACCAAAGATGACACCATTGCATTTTTTTAAACAAAAAACATCATTTTTTTTAAAAATTTGATCCCTTTCTTTTCGATTTCCTATAAACAAAAAACAATTAAAATATTTTCCATGAAATCAAGCACTAAACTGATGCTATATTGTTTTTTTAAAAAAAATTATATGAATAATATAAAAAATAAAAACAAATTATTAATCCCAAATCTAAGATGAAACTTGAAAAAAAAATTGATGATGAATAAAAAAAAAAACCAAAGTAAAAAAAAGCAAAACACTATATGAATCCAATATTTTGTTTTGTCTCACAAGCTACAAGGATTCATTGATCCCTTTTGATTTTTTTTTAAATTTTAATTTTAGTATGGGCCAATTGCAGTTCTGATAATTTAACGAGAAATTGACCACAATCTTGAAATGTATTTCTTTCCTTCAACTGTTATTATATGGTTTAATACGTTGAAGTTAATTGCCCCAATCGACCGTCATGTGCAGAACTATCACGAAAAGAATTGAAACACAAATTGATTGCTGATAGGAGAGGATCGAAGAACCCATCATGGATTGTTTGGAATTCTTATAGGTTTAGGACTTGTTTTTTCAAATTGTCTCAAGCCATCTGGTACTTGTACTCAATAATAAAATTCAATGGCTATCAATCTAAATTTCCATAAAATGGCTTTCATATATGTATATTCTATTTTTGCACAATTAACAATTAATTTGTTTTTATTTTTGTGTTTTAAAATTATTTTAAAAAAATTAATTATATTTTTATATTTTTATTTTTAATTATTTTTAAAAAAAATTCAGATTGTTTTGACATATTAATATTAGAAATAAATTTTAAAAATTAAAAAAAATATTATTTAAAAAAAAATATTTTAAAAAATAACTGCTTATAATATCAAATAAACTCTTAAAACTTATCATATTCTTTAAAAAAATATGCTGAAGAAGAAAATAAAAAGAATTGATAGAAAATAAAAAGGTCACAGAATCTAATGTCAAAAAGAGGAGGGTCAAAACGAACTGCTATCTTATTGTTATTTCATCATCATTAGATAAAAGAAAGTTCCATGGGTCCAAGCTTATTAAAAAAAGATAAAATAATACCATATAAAAAATAGTTAGAAAAATAATGGAATTTAGAAAGTTACTAATGACATTTGTGATTCTCAGGTTCTTATTTGTGACTTTTTTAAAATTATAAAATTGTTAAACACCATATTTAATATGGAAAGATAATAGAAGAAAAGAATGAAAAATAAAATAAAAAATCTTTGAGAGAAATTAAAACTCTAATGACAACATCACTAATATTATTAAAAAGATCTTGACAAGATTAATTTAACAATATAAAAAAAGATCATTAACAATATTAGA